GCTCCCTGCTCGGCAGGGAGTCTGCTTCTCCCTCTGCTCCTCCCCGTTTGTGTGCGCTCTCTCTCAAATAAATAAAATCTTAAAAAAAAAAAAAAAAAATCAACCAGGTCCAAAGTCTTCCTCTGTGGCCAACTGGCCAGTCGTCACGAGCCCCACAGACAGCAGGGGAATCCAGAGGTCACTGCGTGCAGATAAAAATGTACACTCACTCTAACTTGTGAGATTTCCCAAATGCACCAACCATTCAAAAAATACTAATGAGAACTTCTCATCAGTTTCAGTTCCAGTTTAAAAACCCCCAAACCTCCTAAATGTATCCTGGGCTGAAGAAGAAACAATGCAAAGCTGCCCAGGGCCCTCGCCCACGGCCCTCAGCGTCAGCAGGACAGCCCAGCAGGGGCCGGGCAAAGGCACCCCTGACTCTGGGGACAGCCCGCTGCACTGTGGCCAGCCGTGTCCCGAGGGCCCAACACTGGAATCGCTCCTGCCTGACAGAAGGAACCATGCGTGACCCGCAGCCAGACCCAGCCTCTCGGCCCCTCAGCGTCTCACTGGGAAGCCACTAAGGCTCTGAACCTCCGACACAGCCCAGAAGCTCAAATGAGCAAGGCAGGGCCCACCTCCAGCTTCTGGAAGGACTCAGGTCAGAAAGAATCTAGAGTCGGACACACAGCACGTGGCAAGAGGCCCCTTTCCGCCCCACGCCCACCTCCTCCTGTGTTCCTCTTCTCTTGGGGGTGGGAGGCTGGGCCGTGAGAGAGACCACTGGTCCTGCCTTATTCTACTGGGGTCTCTCCTCACAGGGGCACCGCCAGACCCTCAACCACCCACAGAGATCCCACAAGGCTGTGCCCCTGGCAGGGCCGAACCGAGGCTCAGTTTGGTCTGGAGAGGGCAGAGAGCTGAGAGAGCCTCCGCTTCACCAACCAAGGCCTCTGCTCGGAGGGTCAGAGGGCACAGTCAGAGAAAAAGGCAGCTGGCTCCAGGAGAATAAAAATTAATCAGGAAAGCAGCAGACAGGCTGGGAGGGCACTGGCCCGTGGGCTTGGGCACCTGACGGCGCCCACCTGACCTTCACAGAGACGTCAGCCACAAAGACCAGCAGGCAGAGCACCTCGACGCTCTCGGTGAGGCCACAGGGTGGATCCCAGGGGGCCGAGCGGTAGCGGACGTCTGCAGTGCTAGTGAGCGAGGAAGGGGTCTCGATAAAAGCCAAAAACAGGATCAAGAAAATGGTGAAGCTCAATATCCTGAAAAAAAGAACAAAAACTAATGAAAATGCACGAACCAGCAGGGCTCTGGGCCCAAAACTAGATCTGCAGGCAGGATGCCTGGGACGACAGCAGGACAGACTCCATGGTTTCAAAAGGACCCCACGTCTCCTGCTTTGTGCCCGCTCTCGAGTGGTCAGATAGCGGTACTCAGGTCAAAGCTCGATGGCCACGGCTGAACCTCTTCACCGGAAGAGCCCCTCTTTCCTCGGGCTGGGCTCCTTTCCAGGAAGGAGGGGAAAGCGGCTCCTTCTCCACCTTGGGGAGGGGAAACCCGCCTGGACCCTGAGGCCGGCCTCCCCCCACCCAGCCAGGCTGCAGGGACCTCCCGCTGCACGCCTGGGCCTTCTCACCATTGGCTCACGTTTGAGTAATACAAGCGGTAAAGCCCCATCGACCTGGCGTCCATGCGGTGGTTAATGGAGCGGTACTGAAAGTGAACACCACACAGGGGAGCGTGAGTGGGGGTCCCCTCGGAGCCGCACGGCATGGCCAGCCACAGGCCGGGCACCCACTGACCCCACGACAGGCCCCAGGCAGGGAGACGGGCCGTGCACCAGAGTCCACTTCCATGGCACACGTGGACAAAGGGCTCTCTCGTGACCCTGCGGGGCACCCAAAGCCTCCACGGCCCTGCATGGACACCCACTTCCAAACGTACAGCTGTGCCCGCTGCCTGCCTGTGAGGCTCCCCCCTCTGCTATACAAGGCCCCCACCACTCTCACACTCCAGGCCGCCCCCCAGCCTAGCCCCCCATATGGCACGTTGCTCCCTTCCATATCCTATTTCCCGAATTGAGCCTGGGTGTCATTTTCCAGCAGGGGACGGTCTGACCATCTTTGGGCATCTCTCAGAGGACCTGGGACAGGCAGGCACACGACAGGCCCTCGGCAGGTGGTAACTCAACGAAACCAGTCACTGACTGTAGGCCTCAAGGGAAGAGCACCCAGCGCCCACCTGCTTTAGGGAAGACTCCAGGCGAGCCGTGCCCACAGACCCCATCATCACTTTATGATGACCACACGGGCCAGCCACCGAGACGCCGGCCCCAGGACAGCAAGGAGGGGACCAGCAGGGCAGCCATCACCCAGCCCCCACAAAACGTGAAGAGGAGCCCAGGCCCAGCCACTGGGAGTAGGTGCTGCCCACCTGGATCGCATCTTCGATGAAGACAGCAGCCTGGTCAAAGCAGAGATCCCGCCTGGACCGAGCGCCTGCAGGCAGAGAGAGCACGTCAGGGGACAAGGCAGATCACATGACACTCACCGGCTACAGGACCACTGAGATCAAGGAAAGAACCTGGAGGCATTCTTCTCCAAGGCTCTGCAATGAGATGCCTTTCGCCCCGCAGCAAGTCCGCCCAGGACAGCGCCCCAGGCCTGGCCCGGCGTCCGACGCCGGAGCGCACTCCATAAGCGGGCAGCTGCGGCCCCCTCCTGCCGCCTTCACACACCAGCACCCGGGGGTGTCAGGGCACAGGAGGACGGATGGGGCCCCTGGTGGGCCTCCCGACTACGCGGGGCCTTCAGGACACGTCAGGCGGCTGGAAGCCTCATCCCAGCACCCCCGCCCCCTGCCCACGGAGGAGCCATAAGCTGCACACCAGGTCAGTCCCTGCAGCCTTGGGTTCCGACCACTGCTTGACTCGAAGGGAGAAGAAAGGCATGAGGAAACGTGGCTCTCAGCAACAGAGGAACCCCACGGCCCGGCGAGGTCCAGGCGAGAGGGTGCAGCCCAGGCAGCCTGGGCCCCGGGCAGGGAGCAGACCGGCACGCAGCCCCCAGCACCCCCCAGTCCAGGGCTTAGAAACAAGGGGTCAGCTGTCTCTGCTGAAGATTCTACTTTCAGCTGTGGTCCTTTCATGCCAGCAGCAGTTCACCTCGTACGGAGAGAACGCTGCTTACGTGCCTGCCTCCAGAGCAGAGGTAGGGAAGCCCGAGGCAGCGTGGGCGGGCGGTGGGCGGCTGTCTACTGTGCCCACCGCCCCCGGGGAAGCAGCAGTCCCTGTCCTCAGGGCTCCTGCCGCAGGGCCCCGGGGGCCAATCAGGGACATGGGGGACCCTGGACAGAGGTAGGAGGCAAGACTCCAGCCTGGCTCTGTCATCACATTGCTGTGTCACCCAGGGCAAGCGCCCACCTCTATCTGGGCCTCAGCTTCCCCCCATGTACAACCTCCATGCTCGCCCTGAGGAGCCCTAAAAGTTCTCCCAGGGAGGCTGTGAGGATGGTGATTGCCTGCTTCCCCTGATGGCATCCTGGGAACTGTGATCAGACAACACTCTGGTCTACTCCCTGCTGTACCCACAGAGCCCAGGACCGTGCAGGGCTCAGCACACAGTGTCCTCAAAGCTTCTTTATGGAGTGAGTGAACAGCCCTGAGGGAAGGCTGCGGAGCAGGGTGGTCTGAGGGCCCACAAGGGGCCCCATGTTACCGAATCCCGGGATAAGAGATGAGATCGCCACCTGGAGAGATCTAAGGATACAAGCCTCTGAGACAAGAAGAGCCTGTGGGCTCGTTCTAGGCCCAGATGCGGGGTGCAGCTCACGCCCAAGCAAGCCATCACAGGCCAGGGGACACCCTGTGTTCTGAGTCTCCCTGGCTAGGCTGCTTGGCCCCGGCGGTGGGGACTGAGAATGGCTGGTCTGCCCTCAGGCTCCTGTGGGGGCTCCCAGGTGGGGGCTCTGTGCACCGAGTTTGCGTGTCTTGCAGTCGGATCCTCCTACTGATGGGTGGGGGGACTGTGTTGCTGTGTCAGGCACCCCGGGAACTGCCCAGCACACATCAGACCTCTGGCCTGGGCCTCGGGGCACGAACCTCAGAAAGGCCACCCCACCTGCTTTGCAGCCCCTGACACCAGCAGCCAGGGGCACCTTGTCACAAACCCTCGGTTGTGAGCATGTCACAGCTTCCCACGAGTCCCCAGTGCTCCTGGACAAAGTCCACACTGTCCCCACCCGTTCTGCTGCTTCCCCCTCCCTATGCCCTCCACGCCGCTCATCCTGAACTTGGCAGAGCCAAGTTCTCCCAAGACTCCAAGCCCTTACCCAGGCTTTGGGCCTAACAGGAGCACTGTCTCCCAACGTGGTAGTCCCCCACCCCGGGTGGCAATCAGCGGGCACACCAGGTCGGAGCATCAGGGTAGAACGTCTGCTGCAGAGAGCAGAGGACAACAGGGGCACAAACACCGCGTCCCACAGCAGCCTCCTCTCCCTCCTGTTCCAGGCTCCACCCTGCACGACCCGCCTGGGGCCCCGACCAGCTCCCTGATGACCCTGGGCAGGCCCCTTCACCTCTGTACCTCAGTACCCCTCACCGGTCATACACGACGGGACGGATGTGCAGACTGAATGGGTTGCTGTAGCTATCTGTTGCTTTTATTCTAGAAGCCCCTTCCATAGTATGGTGCTCCCTCGTCCTCTGACTTTTCCATAACCAGAAAGAGGATGACTCCCTAACCAGGAACAAGAAGAGGACACAGCTACCCTTGCTCTGTGGCCGACGAGGTGAGGCTGGGTCAGAAGGACCTGACTGCAAGGTCTGCGGGGCACCCAGCAACACAGTCCCCCCACCCATCAGTAGGAGGATCCGACTGCAAGACACACAAACTCGGTGCACAGAGCCCCCACCTGGGAGCCCCCACAGGAGCCTGAGGGCAGACCAGCCATTCTCAGTCCCCACCGCCGGGGCCAAGCAGCCTAGCCAGGGAGACTCAGAACACAGGGTGTCCCCTCACATTCTCAGAAGCCCTCATGGAGGCCATGGCGTCCGGACAAGGAGCCCTTGCTCACCATCCACACTGCCTGGCCCTGGCTCCTACCTTACAGTGCGGGTCTCACGTGCCCACTGTCCACTTGGCCAGGACCGGGACCTGTGACAATCACGGTGCGCTGCCCAGAACGGCCCTCAGCACCAACTGCACCAGCTCTGCCACCTGGCCGGGTCCTGCGCCGAGGGCATTCCCAGCATTCTCTCCGAATCCTCACAACACCCCTCAAGTCAGCCCCTCTGACTACCTCCCTTTTATTAAAGCTCAGAAAGGTCGGGCAACCTGCCAAGGTCACACAGCCAGAAGGGGCGGCACCAGAAAGGCACTCTCACCTCCAGACTCCAAGTGTGCATGCCCCATGTCCCTTGCCCAGGGACCTGTGGGGTCTGGCATGGGCTAGATGGAGAACTTTCCTGGGGAGAGCCTCTGAGATGCGCAGGCAGGTGGCTGCCCCCACCTCTATTTACCCCATCTCCTGTCAGGAACCCGCCACCCCCATAGTCCATGGATGGGCACACACCACGGGCACCTCCCAGACAGAGGAAGAAAGCAAGCCCAGAAAGCGAAAGTGCTCCTGGAAGGAACACCCAGCATGACACTGGCCGCAGCCGCACCAGATCCCAGGGCTGATCCTGGACAGGTCCCGGAGACTCTGTGGGCCTCGGTTTTCTCCTCTGTAAAATGAGGCTGAAGCCCTTCCATCCCTAACCCAGTACCCAACCCCCTTGCCGTCTGCCAGAGACAGATGGACTCCACCCTCCGGCCCTCCTCCGGATCAGCAACTTCTCTGCTGGTAAACAGGAAGGGCAGGAGGGAGCTGCAGAGGGCAAAGGGAGGAAGCTGCCCTGCTCTGGTGAGGCCTGCCCCAACCCCAGACTGAAGGGGGACCAGCCTCTGGGGAGACTCCAGCACCGAGACTGAGAGAGTAGACTGAAAGGACTCCTAAGTCTGCTCCCAGCTGGGCTCGAACCCCACCCCAGCCACTTCCCGGCTGTGTGACCTTGGGTAGGGGAACGCCCCTCTCTGTGCCTCAGTTTCCCCCATCATAACCGGGAGGAAAACGGAAGTGCTGCCTCCTAGGGGCCACCAAGGCGATCCGCGAGCCCTGGGTCCACCCGAGGTCCATCGAGGAGGCTGCATGGGACTGGGGGGCGCGGGCGGCCGGCTAGGCGACGCCTCTCGGGCGGCTGGTCGGAGGCAGGGCGCGACCCTGCAGAGCGTGGCCGACCCTGGCGCCCGCTACTCCGCAGGGTGCAGCCCCCCGCCCTCCGGAGGGCGGCTCCCCTCGCTCCCCGCCCCCGCTCAGACCCCTGCCCGTGGGACGCGCCCGCAGCGGCGACAGCGAACGGCGCGGAGCCGGCAGGACCGCACGCAC